GAGGTCCTGGGTCCCCTCAGCAGCCGCTCCCCCCCTCCCACAGGCCTGGCCTTACCTGGAGCCGAGTTGATCCGAGATTTCTTCCTTGCAAAGTCGCTCCTTGCCCAGGTCGCGGCGCGGATTTGCTCTGTGGAAAAGCAAGGCGAGGTTGCCCCCTTCCTGCCGGAGCACATCCCGCTGCATCCTCTCCCCACCACAAAGGGCTGCAGGTACCAGGAACCTCTCACAAGCCCTGGTGCTGCTTTATTTTCCCCACCCCTTGGCCCTACTAAGAGAAGACCATTTCCAAATACCTTTTGCTTTGTTACTCGTTGCAATTCCATAAATTACATACTCAGGTGTTTGTGGGTTTTTTGTCTTCCCTGGTCTGTACCAAGATGATGATCCCTCAAGGATGGAAAAAGCCACATTCATTCACTGAATGGCTGCTGCAGTCTGAGATTTGACTTGGGTGTTTCCTTGATGTGACTACAGAGGCAGAGAGGACAGGTTTTCACTGGTGCTTTTACCTGTAGCCACAGCAGTGTCACTTGTTGGTAGAACCCTTTCCACCTCCTACCCAGGAGTCTTTCATGCCTCACAGCCTGGTGCTTACCCAGACCTTTCTTACCTCTGTTTTAGACTAACTTTGAAAACCCCCTAAAATAACTTTTCCTCTTATTTTGATATGGACCTCCCCCAGCAAGAATTTCTCTGTGCATTCAAGCTATATTTTCTTCCTTTTGTATTTGCCCCAGATCTCATCCCACTCTTCTTGGCTTGTGTCTCTATTGATTATGTCACTCACAGTAATTCCTTTGTATCTCCATCCTTCCCCCTTCTAAAGTCTCAAAGCTTCCAGGTGATGCTGTTACCAAGAGGAAAATTCAAGGGATTTGGCTTGGCCTGTGTGGGGAGATGACAGGTATTTCTCACATATGTATTGGTATCAGTATGTTCTTGCCCTCTACCTACCGTGTTGGTATCAGTATGTTCTTGCCCTCTACCTACGCTGGCAGACAAAGGAAGTAAGACAAGAATGGAAACATATTTAGCAGAGCCCTACTAGTGATGAATGTATCTCAGAGGGGTTAGGAAGCACCCAGACACCTGGCAGTGTGGTCCGTGGTCCCATCAAATTGTCTATTTTGAGGCTCACCTCAGAAGACAAAACAGATCCACCCTCCTCTGAACTGAAAGCAGCTGTGCTCTCCCCTGCCAGCTGCAGCTCTGCTCTCCTTCCTCCACTGACTGTAAATGGCACAACTCACGCCAGTGGCTGCTCAACAAGTGCACAATCAGGCACAGGCTCCAGCTTTACTCTGTAGAGCACTGACCACACTTTGGCACTGTACTTGTTAAAAACAGGCTGTTCTTCACAAATTGCAGAAGTGAATCCAAGTTCAGATTCCATCACAGCCCTCCTGTGAGACACTGAACCCCCCAATGCACACAGGCAAACACTGTGCATTTGGTTCTGCCAGGTGGGAAAGGTACCTGGAAACTACCTTGTCTCTTGTGAACCCCGTGCAAGTTTCTGCCTGGGGACAACTGCTGGGTCACTGAGTCAAGGGAACAGACACGATGCTGTCTGGGAAGAGCCCTCTGTACCTAGAGCAATACAAGGCCATTTTGTTTTAAACCATGAAGCTGTAACCCTTCCCAGTGTTCACTTTGGACACAATGGGCCAAATTCAGGCTGAAACAAAACAGTGACAGGAGGATTGAGGTGAGTGGAAGATGCTCGCTGATGGAAAGTGGTCTTAACACATGCATTACAAGGGCTGGAATTATCTTAGGGGACTAATAAGTGTAAATAAAAAAAGCATTCTAGTTACTCCTCTGTTAAAATTATTGAAGTCAATAGAAGTTTCTGCTTCCCCACCTTCCTTTATGAGCAATATGAATATGTAGCATTTAGAAACCATTTCACAAAGTTAAACATTTATTAGGAACAAGAACTATTACAAAAAGATACCCATAGTCTAAATATATACATGAGGTTTAAACATAGCATTTTCATGTACCTTTAGCTATAAAAATACATTAGATTAACTGTATCCTAATTTATAAATATAGTTCTTTTTTTTAAAAAAAGAAAGTAGTATTTAATATGAAAGCCTTACTGTGCAATGAAAGAATATATACCCTCTAAGGGGTTATTTTAAAGTTAGTGGCTAGTGTTATATAACTTAGAAAATTCAGTGTGTAGAGTCAAACCCTGATTTATACAGTAAGAGATACGTTAACTTTTAAAAACTTAATAAGGGAAAAAAAAAAAGAGGTGAAGTATATATCATACATATAAAGCCAGAATACTAGGATTTTAAGAATTTCAGATTATTTCAGATTCAACCACTGTTTATCAAAAATTAATGCAGAGATACATCAAGATAACCAGCCTTTTACTGTTTGCCTCACCTCCCTACTATCTGACTGCAGCCCTAGAAAACAGTCAAGTAGGCAAAAGTAAAACATTTGTCTGAGAAGGTGTTTGCACCCAGAGGGTTTTACAAAAATAGAGACTTATTTACAATGTTCCCATTTGGCCTTTCATGGGGAAGGGAGGACATTTTCTTCACCAGATGGGGAGACTTCCCTGTCTTACACACCCAAAGGAGGGCAGGCTCCTAGTTACACACAGCTGTTGGAGGTAAGCCATTTCAGAAGGGGTGTTGAAGAGCCATTTCAACATTCACCAACTAATAAGGAAGTTTAGGCTCATGCAAACTCTTTCCTTACTTATCAACACCCACCTTCCTTCCTTCCCCCTCTAAAAAAAGGTCAAGTCACGCAATATAGCACATGTTCCTGGCTGGGCATATCTCTGAGCAAAAGAAGGTACCAGTTAAATCTTTGCTTGCATCAGAGGACAGAGGTTAGACCTGCATTTCTGCTTCTAGAAAACTCCAGGCAGCAATCCTTAGCAGTGCTCCACGCAGATCTGTTGATGTGCCATAAGGAACACCTCTATCAGTTTGCTCTCAGAAAACAATGCCAGCAAAATCAGCTAAACTTCCTACCAAGCTGACCCCACCAAGTCTGCATGCTTCCAGCTCCCGGGGACACGGAACTTCTCGTATGTTTGCCAGTGGTTCTCCAGTACAGAATTGGGAAGAGGAGGGAAAGTAGTGAACCCAGGAACTGAGACAACAGGTGGCTTGTCATTAATCTAATAGTCATGTCTGAGCATGCAAAGAAGTTACTGCAGGAGATACTGAAACATGAAGTTGGTATGACAGCCACTTCATGCCCATGCAAGGAATTTGATCTAGATGATCTTTAAGGTCCCTTCCAACCCAAACCATTCTATGATTCTGTGAAGAGACAATTCAAGGCAGTCCATTCTTCACTGAAGGATCAGCTCCTCTCTGCTTGCCACAAGTTGACAGCACTCACTACTGCAGAGCTGCTGACACATTTAAGTCCAGCCATAGCTTATTCCATGGTAACTGGTTCGTACACCTACATCTTTAGCACCTGCCTTTTCATACTGTACTTCCAGAAATTCATTTTAAGCTACATTCATACAGGATAAAGAAGCAATGAGAAGAGCTTATAACTTTTACTCTCTTAATAATTGATCTGGCTCAAAAAATGAAGAGATGTTCACACAGCCTGAAAGTTACAGAGAAAGACAGAGCAGGACAGCTTCTTGCAACTCTTCTGCTCCCTCCTCCAGATCAGAAGGACTGGTGTGGGATGTTTTCTGTGGGGTATCTACCATGCTACATGCTTCTCATTCAACTCTGCATCATCACGGTAAGTACAGTGCAAAATCCTCTTGAAAAAAGTGCTATAGTGAAGGTTTGAGATAAAATTGTGACTCATTCAGAGCCAGAAGGGTTACCACATCAGTAACTTGCATTTGCAGCATGTGTAGTGTGTGCACACCAAAACATGGGGTTCAAAGGATACTTTATAGTCTAGTTCTGTCAGGTGAAATACTGGCCCCAAAGGAGTCCTCTGGGAAACTCCCATAAATCTCATTCAGGGCTAGAATATCACCAACATGGATGGAGAAAGCATGTATCTTTAGGGAGACCAAGATAGCTCTTTCAAAGAGAATTTCTTTACAGATCCTTCTATGAAAGCTTGCAGTCCCACCCCAAACTCCAGCTGCAGTCTTCACACAAACTCCTCCAACTTCAGTCAAGTTGTACTAACCCTAATGCTCAAGTCCATTTATGCCAAGTGAAACCCACGTGCCTCTGAAGGCGTTTAACAGTCCATGCTAATGGTACCAGAAGTCTCTCTAACACGCCAGTGATGTCCAGGTCCTTCAGGGGTACAGTTTGAAAGCAGATGTCCTGCAAACACTGTGACCAACCAGCATTCTAGTCACAGGTAGCAGAGAGATGTACAGCCAGGGACTTGTACAGTACAAGTGTGTGCTGTGCTGCCAGTAGGGTCAGTCAAAGCAGTTTTCGAAGAGCCAGTTGACAAAATGGAGTCCAGTGGATTCAGTGTTTCTCAAGGAATAAAGTTAGGTTTTTCCATTTTCCTTCCTACCCCTCCCCTCCCCCTTGCTCTGAACACGTCCCCCATATGTCACATTCAGAGTGTCAGCATTTTAGGCCATCTGTTTTCATGGATTCTTCTGGGAGAGTTTAATGGTGACCGTTTTCACTTCGGTATATTCTGCCAAAGCATATTCACCGCTGGAAAAGAAGAGAGAGGAGGGAAAGGGACAAACAATTGTAGCACATTCATGTGATACAACAAGATAACAACTTTCTACACAAGTGCATTTTAGCCTCTGATTGACAGCTGCTGTACATGAATGATATCAGGCCTAGATCTGAACTAACTTACACCAGCCATCAGCCTGGCCCACCACTTCTAATTGTTGGTAAGTACATGCACTCAAGTACACACAACTGCACCCTGTTGTAAAAGAAACATAAGATGCTTCTGGTCACAGTAACCCACAAGATGACACCTTGTACTCTCTGCCTAGTGAAAATTAAGTATGAAGAAACATTCACATAAACATAGTCATAGTGCTTAGACAGTAATTAAAGTTACTTTTTAACTAAAGGTCAGCTTCTATCTACAAGATACCATATAATCAAGAGGGCTCCAGTTGCTCCAAAAATGCATACTGATGGCAGACCCCACCACTGCATTATACCTCTGTTGGTGGAAACTGGCTCTGTTCCCATGCCTTGCCCAGGGGATAACCCCTTACACCCTTTCATTAGCCAGGCAGTCAGGCAAAGTAAACCATAAGGTCTCAATATATGTGTCCCATTGAGGATTCATTCATTTGCTATGCTTAGCAAATGTCTCAGAGCAGCAGATGCACCAGAACAGCTACTGGAAATGCTTCCTGGAAATAAATCTGACTTATTAAATAAAAGATGCATTAGAATTATCTAGATTCAGTCTTCTGAATGGTGTAATAAAACCTGTTTCTCTCCTACACAAGGATTAAATTAAGATTTAAGTCAAGTTCTCAGCTCTACCTCTAACTTACAGGGTGACCTTTGTTGGTGGGACGTGGAATGATCTTCAAGATCATTCCTTCTTGTTCTAGCTCCAGCATTAGAAAGCAAGAGGTTCAAAGGGGTCTCACTTGGAGCAATGATACAGCAGTCAAGGGAGGCACAGATACTGCCAAATAAAAAGGGAAGAGGTTTGGGGTGGATACCAGTGTCCCCAGCCAAGGTGTCAGACTTCTCCCTTGATCTAAAAAAACTGACTAATAAGGGAAAAAAAATGCTTACAAGTGGAATTGACCGGAGTTATTAAGAGCTGATAAAGCAGATTAAGATACTCCTGAAAGCACCACTCATGTTCTCACATCTCACAAGTACTCATGTTCTCACATCTGTGCTTTACATCCACATTTTATGTAACCATAGGAGGCTTAACACCTCCCTGTATACAAGCCTGATAGTTTAAAAAGCAAATTCAACAATACTTTCACTGAGTCGCAATCCTTATTGCATTCACCATCGACATATAAACAAAATCTTGAGCAAAACTTACAGTTCTCTGCCATTGCCTGACATTTTAAAGCCACCAAAAGGAGCCTGTGCATAGAGTGCATTGTAACAGTTGATCCTACAATAAAAACACCAATTGTAAAAAGACAATTCCACACCAAGGAGAAGCAAGATGAAGACAACAACAACACAAAAAAGGTCTATAATCCGTCAGTTTTCTCTTTATACAATTAATTCCCTTGAGAAATCAGATTTCAGCAATAAAATCTTATTTTGCTACAGAAACAGAAAACATTTGAGTAGTACTCAACCTGACCCATATCTCATTTCAGTCTCTAATGGTCAAGACATTCAGGCATGAGCAGGAATTTCAGCTGTGTTCAGAGCCATGCTTCAAATAAATAGTCCAACCTATTCCCTAATTTAATGAAGCACATTCTGAAATGAACATATTTACTCAGGAAGCTGTCTAAACACATCATCCACTTCCAGCAACAGAAAAAAGTTGGACTGCATTAGACAGTTGTGTTGCAGTAAAACAAAAGAGTTAACTCCATTTCTGTAGGCACTAGGGAGAAAAAGCTACTGCAGGTGCTTCCTCAGCATCTCAGGAAGATCAAATTACTAAGGAGAAACAGGTATGGCTTGGTGCTGTAGGACTGCACCTTCATGTACATGCAGCACATGTATCCAAAGCCCAACATCCCACCTTTATGAACATATTTACTCAGAGAAAGAATCTTCCGGAGTCAACTCTTTAAATCAATCCTCTGCATGCATCAAAATCAGACAGCAGATAAAATTCCCATCTCGAGTGGGAAGAAAATCAGGATTCCAACTTTAAAATGATTCTATTATAAAATAAGAAATTGGAAGCAAAACTAATTACTCAGCTTTCTGACAGTAGTGCGGTGCCATCTACTGTCCACACTGAGTTGTGCATGTAAGAGCCTGGCTGATGGTACCGAAAGATTCTAAGAGTTGCTTGTCTCTACAAACAGGATTTTGACAGGCATCAGATGTCTGGTGGAACTTCCTACAATCTCTACATTTCCAAGGTTTTTCAGATTAAGAACTACATCGAATGAATGAACAAACAGTCACCAGACTCTCTGGTCCTCACCACCTGATTTTGATGAACGGACGTTGCTTCTGAGCAGAACGTCACGAATTAGTAAGATTACTAATACATCTCACCTGCAGCACTTACACATGATTCCAAACAATACTCCCAGGAAAGGAAACTCTGTTCCCACAGTACTCACCAGACAGTTCCAGATTGCAATGCAGAAGCTAGTGTTAGTGCCCTGTCCAGGTTCTTTGTGAACACCGCAGCTGTGAGGCCATACTCTGTACTGTTGGCTCTTCTTATCACCTCTTCCATGCTCTTGAACTTCATAATTGGCTGAACTGGCCCAAAAATCTGCACATATTGATTAAACATTAGTAAAATCTTTACTAATCATGGCAATTTTGAAGTAATTACAATCAGATGCTTTGTTTTACTTTACTTAAAATGTTATGTCCTGACCTTCTAGAAGTCACTGATAGAGTCTCTGAAAAATTGCTAATTAAACTGACTTCAAAGGAAGTCCAGTGATTTAATAGAATAGTTAATATTCACTATGATCCAACAACACATCATTTGTAACAATCAAAATAAACAGAGCTAGATCTGGACAAGTTTCAAACAACTCATCCTTACTCCATTTACAACTCTCCTTTTGAACTCAGACATTGAGGATACTCAAGAAGCAATTAATGTATTTCAAGGATTGCAGGTTTTCCTCCTTGGTTTTTAACTCTGATTTTGTCATTGTCCACAGTTGATTTGCATGCAGTGCATTTGCCATAGATGTGTTTTACCACAAACTTGGCTTCCCAGTATAAAGCAGTTTGAATACACAATGCTTCCCAACTTCTGGGATGGAGTCTTTCATCAAGTACAGGATCAAAAGTGGGGCCCTTTTCTTGCCTGCATGGTCTTGCAGTACAATAAACTCCCATACCAAAGGTGAGATATAGTCTCACTTGTGCCACCCTGAGGGCCAGGCTAAGCACTTTGCCAGGCCTTTAGGCTTGTAAGTGTTTCTGAATTTCTTTGGGGAGAATCAGGTACTTGATCCCAGGCAAAGGATGAATGTGCATTTGCAACAAAACTGCAAATGAATTAAACTGGACAAGCTTCATGAATCATGACTTGGGATTTGGAGTCTGTTCATAACAAAAATGACCTGTCATGGGATTCTCAGATCTTATTCCCTCTATTTTTAGAATGTAGCTCATGTCCAAACTGACTGATATCTTTCCCAGGTTCCTTAGAGATTCTGTGGCAGATCTGAGACATCTAAACATTTTGCCAGAAGTGAACAGTAAGCAGCTCCATAAAAAGCACTAGGCTAAACTAAAATAGGCAAGTGCCAGTTAAACTTTGGCAACTACTTATTTTCCATTGGGGAACATGACGAAAAGTAGATTAACTTCTATTTCAAATGAATATCACAGGATCTAATCACATGCAGCTTCCCTGTTCTGCTCTCCCCCTCTCCTCTCACAATTCACCCCCCATGCACACACACTCCAAATTGAAACTCACCTTGCAGATACATCATTAGTAGTGTGCATTTCAACTTTAGGCAGTTGTTAGGACACCAAAACAAGTGAAATTTCTATTGTCCTCTCAGGTTTTAACTTCAAACCACAGCCATACCTCTCTTCTTTCCCCTTTACAATTAGCAAATGCATATAAAGGTTCAGGTGGCTTGTACTGTACCTCTTCTTTGGCGATACGCATGTTGTCAGTGACCTCTGAAAACACAGTGGGTTTTATAAACAGGCCTCTGTCTTCAATGGCAAGACCCCCACACTCCAGCTTAGCCCCTTCTTTCTTCCCACTTTCTATCAGCTCCAGGATTTTATCAAACTGTTTTTGATCAATCTGTCAGAAACAAAAAGAAACAGACAGCTGTGCCTTTATTATTGCTGTTCCAGAGACTGGAGCCATGATATGTGGCCCAGGGGCACATTTGCAGGGCACTGTCAGACTGGGTGAGTTTACACCTCACTCCATGATACAGCAGTCAGGCAACAAGCAAACTGAAAGACAGGACATGGGCACAGCCCTGAGCCACGGAAAACGGAAGGTGAAGCTACAAGTGATAGTTCAATCTGATCTAATAGTTTACTGCCACATGAGTGGGGTCTCCTCACTTCCCCTTCCTCTGCATCCTGGACCTGCACTCCCATGGCTCACCTCACTCCAGCTCTGGGACTAACTGACCTTATCCAGGCACTGTTTTAGCTCAGGAGCACCGTGAGAACAGTCTGAAATGTGTTTTGCTGACCTAGAGAAAAGCCAGTCCAGTTACAGGAGGACACTTAAGTTGCACAGCTGTGCAGCCCTGCACCAGGACTTGGAAGAGACATCATGTACTACACCATCGTGGGTCATGTGCTGGGAAGAGATGCAGAAGCCCACAGCACTTCTGACCTTTACTGGTCCTTTTTTTGTGCTCCCCATGCAGCGATGCACTGCAGGTATCCTCAGATTCCAAACAAATCAATGTTTGCATGATAACAATTAAGCAATGAAACACCTCATCACATCATGCTACGGATGGTAAAAGACTTAGAGACTTGTTTACAAAAAACAAAGCTAAGAAAAAAACTCTCCAAACTCATTAAAGTTATTAAATAAAATACTCCACCTACTGCTTCAAGGTGCCCTGGCAGCCTGGTTATTCTGAATGCCAGGTATCTCCAGATGCTTGTACTCATTCAGAAACCTTCCCTAGGCATCTGTTTTTATTTTGGCAGGGCCAGCTGCCAGTTGGGACTGTTTACATGGAGTGTTCCACACTTGACTCCTCCAGATTACGGACTATATCCTGTCCCTAGTTAATCCCTGGCCACATACAATCCAAGTTTTCATGCTTTTAGAGAAATATCAAAGCTTCAGGAGGGTGTCCTTGGGGTATTTCTGGTACACAACAAAAACAGAGAGCAGCACATCTCCTGCCACACAGATGTGTGTATCACACACACTGTGGACAGCTTGTGCAAAGTGCTCATGTCCTCTCGTGTGTTAAGATGCTACCCAAGAAAATATCTGATACATGCTACTGCACAAGGAAATGTAGGATGCAGGGTGTCACACATTAAGTTTGGCACGTGTCATACATATTGTCTATTTGTCTGGTTGCTTAGTTGCCAAATGTAAATAATTTGAAAATATCTGCAAGTGCTTTCTATCCTGGCATGTCTGTGATCCAGACCAATCCAGTTCATCCACTTCACATCACAAAAAACAAAACAAGGATATTTATACAGCTGTAACTTGTTGCAAGGCAAACTATAGTTAGATGAAAAGACACTGGGGAAAGAAAATATTTGTAAAAATGACATGCAAGGGTGGAACTGTTTGTCATTGTAACTAGAGCTTGCAAGGCTTGTTTAAATTCTGTCCCCTACTCCACTATTATTTATGGTTCAAGCATTGCCTTCTATTAAAAACACATGATCTGCTAGAGCAAATTCTACTATTTGTCCATCTAATTCAAGAGAGGAAGGCTCTAAGGATCACTGCAAAATCTGAGAAACCCCAAATCTTCATTTCTTGTTTCATTTAAGTCAAGACTGCAAGGATCAGTTTTTCCTTTTCCAAACCCACCACTTGTAATTCTACAGAGTAACACCATAACTGTGTCCAACTGACTGTTGGACATACAGTCTCTCTGCTTACATATGTTACTTTCATGCTTTAATTCTAAAGTATACAAATGTCTACACTCTAAGGAAAATAACAGCTGTCTTAAAATTCAAACAATAGGTTTTATGCTGAAAAACTGCTAGTAAGCATGTGCAGCTCTTGTGCTTATGTCCTTCCTGTAGACCAGCTCTTATAGTTCACAAACCCCAGGATTTGGGGTTCTACAGTAACAAAACCTGTCTAGTCTTGTTCAACTCTAATCCCTGTTCTAGTCCACCAGGATGTTAATCTCATCTAATGGAGTCTGCTCTGCACAATTTTATAATGCCCTGGTTAACCAGTTTGCCATCTGTGCAGATTTACTTTATTACTTCCTATGATACAGCTCACAGGAATCTGAAGTTTAAAAAATGCCCTTGGTCTGCATTTGAGGTTGGCACTCTACTCAAACAGTCCTGATCACGCCCCTCAGGTTTCTTGTGGTGTCTTTTGAATTCCAGCCAGCCAACATAGTCAGACACATGTGAGTTTTGGAGAAGTCTCATTAGAAGCATGCCTCATTTCTGCTTAAATTTGACCTATTTTTGAGCACTGCAGTTTGTATCAGCATAAACCAACACTGCAGCTGACAGAGCCTTTTCCCCACACCCATGCCATGGGTATCCATGCCAGTACATGGTAATCCACATCAGGGAACTGACCTGAATAAAACCTTTCTTCCTCACTTCAAAAATCCCTGGTTTAGACCTGAATCAGCCAGTTCCCCAAGGTAATTCATAAGTACAGTGCATTTTTTTCCTAATTTTGCTGAGCAGTTTGAAAACTCTATAGATAGGCAAGGGATAGATACAGTCCCAGCATGAACAGGGGATGTAAAACATCTTATTCCCCATGCATAAGGACACACAGTGAGGTTTTGCCATGCATGGATAGAGTGTAAATGGGCCTACATGCCAATAAGGAGGGTCAGATGTCTCTACAGTCATCTTTTCTCTAAGGGAATCTACATAGCATCAAGGAAGAAAAACTCATAGTTCAGAACTGAGAACAGGAAAAGTAGGCTATAGATTTCTGGGATTCCCCTTTTGGTTTTGGTAGCAAACAGTGGCCCTGTTAAAAGATCTGACCCAATGATCATCTTCCTTCAGAGCTCTCCACCACAGCTCAGCCTGCTTTGCAAGGAAAAAAGACGACGAAGGCTCTGGAAGCACTGATGAGGCTGGTTATGACAGTAGCTTGGCATGGTTTTTCCTCCTAATTCAGCTGAAACTTCTCCAAAGGATGACAAAAATAGGGCAAAGAAGGAGAGGGAAAGGGGGGACTCAGGAGTCCCTGGGCTCTAACTGCTTGTCATCACCAACACAGCCAAGTAGCTGAATGGCCGTTCTGCAGCTGCACTCTTCTGTGCATTGCTATTTCTTGCTGCAACATGCTTTGTATTACTACTGGTACCAGGGAGACAGCTCCTTCCATAGTGAATTAAATACATTTGTTAAAAAAAAAAATAATTACAACATAACATTTCAACAGTTGTGATTAATTGGTATTTAAAATAGAGAGAAAAATAAAGCCATGATATATTACTCACCCCTCTGTGCTTCTGCTGGGACCATATTCACAAGGATAATATTTACACAAGGAAAAATTAAACAAAAACACAACCAAAACCCAAACAAGTGTTCTCAAGCACACAGTTACCTGAGGCCCTTGCTCAGTTCTGGCATCAAAAGGGTCACCAACAAGTCTCTTCTTGGCATACTCCACACTGCGCCGGACGAACTCCGGGTAGATCTGCTCCTCCACAAACACTCGTGAGGCAGCAGTGCAGCACTGCCCTTGATTGAAGAACACGCCTTGATGGGCACATTCCACTGCCAAGTCCACTGCAACATGGCCCAGGAGGGAAAAGTGTTACCACATGCACAGTTTCAGCCTTCCAGTGTTTCCAGACTTGTTTTTTCATTTCTCTTTTGAAAGCCTCTAGTAAAAATGCTGACAAGGGTCCCCGCCCATTGAAGGCACTCACAAGTCCTCATGCTGCCCCCAAACCAAATCCCTCACTGCTTCCACCCCTCTTCCTGCCTTTTGTCTCAAGGTCTAGTTTGCTGTAGTCCCCAAAACTTCCTTCCAGAAGAGCTCATTGAGGGCAGTAATCAGTTTTTCTTGCTGTGGGAATTCCAATGTGGATTCCCGGATACTGGGCATTGGCTCCTGAAGACTAGTTTTAGCAGTGAGTGGTTGGGAGGCAGTGTGCCCTTCTGTTGCACAGCCAGCTCAGACCAGGTCCTTACAATGCTCACTGTTAGCAGCACATGTACCTCTGGCTTTCAAGCTCTGCTGTGCAGGAGAGTGGAGGGTATTCTTCCCAAGCCAAACAGGGTTTTCCAACCACTTTGGTGATCACAGGTTACATGTATCTCCTAGTGCTACTCATTAATGCACCAAAGTCACAACAGAACATGCAAAATAAGTCCTGCACATCATCATAGAGGTGAAGGCTGGATTAGATCAGGACCTACAAAACTCTCCTGTCACAGGAGTATCTGCAGAGGGGCTACATTTAAAAAACAGAAACCAAGCAAACCTGCTTTCCCCTCTGCTTGGCTCAGACTCTGCAGTTCTGCCAACCAAAAAGAAGGCACCACAACAGCAGAAATGCACAAAAGCAAGATTTATCTGCAACTGAATCTACCCCCAGGGCAAGTAACAGTGTAGTGGTCTGCTCATTTGCCATGGGAATGGTCCCTGTACTGGGCAAGAGCCTCAGTGAAACAGAAACCCCTGCTCTTGGACAGGGGTTTGTTCCAGCTGTTGGGGTGGATGCAGTGGCAAACACCAGCCCTGCTGGCTGCCAAAGGCAGGAGAGGCACATGGAAGGACCACACTTGTAGCATCCTACAGTAAATAAACACAGCAGCCAGTACTTACAGTCTGCATCTGCACACACAATGCAAGGGTTCTTCCCTCCAAGCTCTAATGTCACCCTTTTGAGGTTGCTTTTAGAAGCAGCTTCCTTGATCAGTTTTCCAACCTGCAGCATTGAGACACAAAGAGGACAGGAGCTGTTGGGGTAGCCCCCCAATATCGGCTGCAACACCTGTGAAAGCCTTAACTCAGCATGTCAAGTGTGATGCTAACACAGGTAGAAGGGCCTGGTTGGTGACTGAAGCAGGAAGAAGTCAGGGATCACATTCTTAAATGGTTTGAGTTTCCTTCTGCTGTCACATGCTGGGTCAAAACCAGCTCCAGAATTAATGTCTTTAGGCAGATCTTAAAGGGTGGGCTGTGTGGGAGATCTACAGGAAGGAAGTGTATCCTGAAGGACACCTGCTACCTAGACCTGCAGAGCAAGTGAGCAACACTGGCAATCAAGGTTTATGAGTTTTACCATTAAAAACTGAGAATTCAACTTCTCAGAGTAGAGCTTGCCAAGGCAATGATAAGAACTCACTGTTCCTGTCTGTTACCACTCCCATGCCAGAAAGCCACGTACAGATTTTGACATTTAGGAGAAAATTACTTCTTTCTTGACAGTTTAGGCTGAGCTGCTCCACACACAAGAGTAGCTGAGACATGTTTCTTCCAAGGCAATACCTGAGGTTGTCAACAGACAAACTCTGTCTAGCTCTGCTGTGGCACTTTCTGCCCTGGAACCTGCTCTGACCATCTGGCAGAATTTCTCAGGTCACCCTCTCCTGAAATAAAGGACTTACTCTGCTCCCAGAACTTAATCAAAATAATGTCAAATTAAGGCTTTTTTCCTCCATAGACAAGTGGTTTAATATAAAAGGTTCTCCCTACATTGTGACAGACTCTGCCATTTCTTTTTGATACTGGTAACACCAAACCAGCAATTTCTGTTCTAAAAAGTGGAATTCTTCACAAGAGCATAAATTAAGTATGAGAATAATGTATTAATCTAATTTTGTTGAAATAGTATGAGTTTAAATTATTTGGGAGCTTCAATTGTTAAAGCAGTTTATTTTTTTTATGTGACCTTATATTTTAATTTCATCCTTTTGTAACTGGTTTTCTTGTATTTTACCTTTGCACATGGCAACCTTCACTTCACTAGAAATACTGTTGCCCTGGAGTGGAGCTGTGAGCAAGGAAAGCATGAGGCATCTGGCTGGCAGTGACAGATCTGCATTTTTCATGGCTGGCATTTGTAACTTGTGCAAGACTTCTGAACATCTCTAGCCACTCAGCAGCCAAGTCCTAAAGGCAGCAGCAGTGAGAAATGTACCTGCTTGTAGGTACACAACTCTGCAAGAGGCACAGCTAGCCAAGAGATCAACTTAATAAACTAAGGGAAAGCAAGAAATCTAGATAAGAAAATGCTCATGGAGTTTAAGATCAGTATTTTCAGGTTGGCACTGAGCCTAAGCTGAGGCTTAAAAACTCAGTCAAAATGTATTTTGAATTGGCTTCACTTCCTGGCTCAGAAACAGTAGCATTATGCTGCAAATACTGCAGAGATGCAGCTGAACTCACAGATGGGTGGAGGGGGAAGAAAACACTTCTAAATTACACATGCATTAGCAAAGAATCTGTCTCCCTTGGTGTTTCCTGCACACCCATGGATTAAGAAGACAAGCACAGCATCTATAGGAGTTCTTTGCCTACAGGCTCCAGCAGCTGAGGTTTTCCTTCTGCCACTAATCCACTGGATACTGCTTTTTCATTAAAAACCCAAACAGACCCATGTGAGCTGGGTGAGTCTATAAACTCTATTGTTTTCACACAGCCAGCATCTAATCTGGGCTACACATTTTTGATCTAGGATTTGGAGAGAAGCTTGTATCTGGGTAAACTCCTAGATTAGCCCAACTATCGAGAGAGTAAAAGTTCATGGTGAACTTTTACTTTATTGCATTCGTGTTTGTTCCCATGATCCCTATACAGAAACAGAGGCTTAACACACCTTTCCCTATGGGGTAAGCAAAGCACTTAGCATGTACACAAAGCCACTAGATGGTACTGTTGTTAAATGCAGCAGTTTTGGAGTGTTTAGTGAGTTACCTTTACCGACCAAGAATACCATTCAAGGTAATTTGTCATCGTTATGCAATTAGATTACACTCTGCAATTGAGAAGATACAGATAAGAATGGATTCATTCTACAAATGCTCAGTGAGAATAACGTTATTCAGGGAAATAAAGAAGACTATATTTGCCCCAGCTGTACCCACTGGAGTCAGCATTTCCATTCTTTGGACACAGACTCTCTTGCATATATATTGCAAGAAAAATCTAGAGCAGTGAGTGGAAAAACATTCACATTTCTAAGAAAGCTTTTGTTGGAGAGTTTGCAGCAGTGATTACTGGAGACAAATATGTTTGTGTGCCACAGCTGTGCTCCCTTCCATGGACTAGGCCAAGCGACGTGCTCCTTTCCCCCACAAAGGTACAGAAGAGAATGGCTGTAGGTGTCTGATAGTGTAGGGGTGTTACTTCCACCCTTCTCCTAAGCAAGGCAGCTGTAGCTATCTACAGGAAAAAAAACTGAATAGAAGGTGATTTAACTGTGCAAGTCTCAAAAGAAGCTCAAACATTAATCCCATCCACGTCAGCAGAGGAAGCCTTGGGCACAGGGCCATGTTTTTATTTAAGTCCAAGTTCCTCAGAGGTAACTAAAGCTGAGGAAGAATTGTTCAGGGCTGACTGACATGTTTTCCAGTTGCACTCACTGGCAGGGCAGGACTGGCAGCCAAACTTGCCCAGAAGCTCCTTCAGGTCAATGACATGTTAAGTTACTGCCAGCCTCTCCTGTAGACTCTCTTACCTTAACTGAGAGTATCTATTACTTCCAGTTGTTAAAGAAATGTGGTGGTTTGGCAAAACCCAGTATAAAGAGATGTGAGATGATCACAAACATAAGGATCTGAATTAGACAAATTCCAAACACTTCTGAGAAATCCCATCACATGGAATGTGATGGAAAATGATGTTGGCAATACAGAAATCACTGACATTTCTTTGGTCCAGTCTTACACGGATGGCAGTTTTAGAAGAGAATGCAAAGAGGAACAGCAGGTGTTGAACAAGAAATCCATCACCCACCTTTGTTGATCCAGTAAAAGCAATTTTATCAATGCTGTGATGGGTTGAAATTGCAGCCCCAGCTGTGGGGCCGTAGCCTGGCACAATGTTCACCACACCTGGAGGGAAACCCACCTAAAACAGAGGTTAAATACAACTCAGTAAAAAGAGATGTTGAGCATTCTGGAACTGATGTGCACTGCTGGGAGATGCACTTCAAGATCTTGGGAAGCTTGTCTTAGTTGCACTATATTCCTTGCAATTAAAAATTGCAAGCTGCAGACAAGGAGCCCACACCAGACACACCAGTTTCCCAGCCTTCCCAGTAAAACAGCTACCAGCTGGAGTAGACATGGGTGAAAACAACAGCCGTGCTTAGGAAATGCCAAGTTTCAGTAAGAATTCCTGGAGGATTCCCAGCTTCAAGTCAAAAGAGAATGAGTCGTTTGGCCCCCAGCTACTGCTGTGCAGCTGGAGCCAAGGGGTAACTGAATGAAAGTTTGTTTTGAACAAAGGTTGACATTTGTGGTTCTTCAGGGGCCAGAGGGATTAAGAAGTCAGTAAAACCTCACTAGATGATGGGGCTAATAAAACAGGAATACAAGAGCAGATGGTAAAAGGCTTATGCCAGTTTCCACCACATTTACAACCTAGATTAGCCAGCCAGTAATTTTGCCAGAAGAGACAAATGGCAAAACTTCAGGTGAAATTCTAGTGTGAGGAGAAGTGTGGGACTGACTGGTCTGTTTTTACTTCCTGAAACAAGAGTTTCAAGGACTATGCTCTTCTAGACCAGCCCTCCCCTACTACTGATTACACAAGGTTGTTTCCCCCACATTTTGTAACAATGGAATTGCAGGATTTTAACCACTCAATTTTTTGTGTTTTTTTAAAATGTGCAATCTCAATAAATGCAGTTGCTCCTTCCTAATAAAGAAAAAAAATGGAAGTAATTGCTCATGTACTGCCTTGCAAAAAAAAAATAAAATTTTTTTATTTCTTCACAAATCAGAAGGGAAATCTGATTTCTTCTATGGTTATGACAATGATTAAAGTGAGTTTAATAGAGTTTGTATCTTGGCAAATGAGTTTTCAAGAAAATACTGCATGTCAAACTGTGCAAGTAATGGTATTTGGATTCAGCAGCAAAGCCACAAGGAAGAAAGAAATTGGTTCAGGTCACCCTAAGCCAGAAAAGGTTGGGGTTTTTTGTTTTGTTTTGTTTTTCAGCAAAAATGGAAGACAAAATATTTTGGTTGGCCCAAAATTATTTCATTGAACCAAACACAGAGCTTTGCTTGTGTTTTAACATCTTCTGCATCCTTTTGAAGATGAAAAAAAGTGTAACTTATTCTTCTGAAAAACTGCAAAGAATTTTGCTAATTTTGGGTGGAGAAAGGAGCATCTTCAAATAAAATTATTCTGCTGTAATTACACTGGTGCCTTGAAGGGCAACTATGAGAAAAAGGCAGCTCAGAATTTCAGCTGCAAAAATGAATTTAATCAGAATTGAATGGCTTTTTGGGGGAATGCTAAGCCTGTGTTTGGGGAGCTGTATGTCAGAGTGAAAAAAGCAGTGGGGTAGTAGGGCTAACTAGAAGTCATGAGAACTGCACCCTATGCTCACTTGTCTTGTACAATCTGATTAAGTCCATTAACTGCATGAGATACTTAACTGCTAGTATTTTTGGACTGCCTTCCCTGATGGAGGAGCCCTAAGTGTCAATTATTTAAATATCTTTCTTTTTTCTTCCAGGCTAAGCCAAGAACAGATAAAATCACCATTATCATTAGATTAAGCTTAACAAATTACTTTTCCAATTGAGAAGTAAAAGCATATCTGCAACCCTTTTAGTTTTCCTCACATCAGTCACATACTTAGACACAGGAAGGTGACATACTGACCAGTCCCGTGCACCTCCCACCACCTCTCTATGATTAATAGATCTGAGGGCACCTGAGATCCTACCTGACAAGCCCTTAACCAACACCTTGAAATCTCAAACTATGACCTTCCCTTTAGGTCAGTATCAAGTTGGCTTTGAAGGGCAGACGTATCTCAGTTGTTCTACAAATCACAGACATTATGAATGATCGTTTTGCACAGCACTCGGTCTTGGCTGGATTATCCCACTTTAAAATGGCACAAACTCAACACTGCTCTCTAATCACACTCTTTTTTGTCCTATTATCTAATAAAGCTGAGATGTAGTCTTTCCCTCATTTGGGAGAGGGGGAGACAAGGCAGAAGAATAACAGCACCATTATTTTTTCTCCCTCTGCAGCTTCCTGAGAAAGAAGAAAAACATAGAGGTTTTGTGATCTTTGCTACCTCTCAGTCATGAAGGCCTTTGTAAGAAAAGACTATAGAGAGAGGCTGTTCTTACCTTCCTCTGTGAGGCTTTAACATCTGTACAACCTAAAAACCTACACAGCCAATTCAAAATACACTCTTGCTTATGACCTTGAAAGAACAGTACGTAGACGTGACCTTCAGATTTCCTTACCTCCTTGATCAGTGAGCCAATGTAGAGTGACGTGAGAGGAGTTTGCTCAGCTGGCTTAATAACCAAAGTGTTTCCACAGCACAGTGCTGGTGCCATCTTCCAAACCAGCATCAGCAACGGGAAGTTCCACTGCAAGAACATGAGGCAGGTCAGATCAGCCCAGCCCAGTCACCTACTCACTGCCATGCAGCATTTTCCCCACCTTCACACAGCTCAGGGAGAAAGAAGCAACTGGGAGGAGAGCCACAGGGAGAAGTAGCTGCCTACAATTGCTTGGACTACAGACTATAACTTCCTTCATTCCCCCCTGAGATCCCAAATGTTGCTGGCAGTCCTCAAGCTAATCCTGTAAGTTGGACAAACCTCTGTGTGACGTGATCTCATCCTTTACAGGAGTTTGATCACACTGTGTGTAGGATTTGGGCTGTTTACAGAAGTTGTGTTGGAGGCAGGGTCCTGGTGCATCACTTCTGTACAGCATGTGGGTGCAACTACACATTGAAAAAACCTCATTTTTCTGTGTTAGGTACTGGCTGAGTAGTTAGGAGTTATACAGTGTCCTTCAACTCCAGGGTTTTAGCTAGGAAACTGCAGTGGTTTGTTCAGTCATGGAAATCCAAGGGAGGTTTTATACTCCCTTCAAGTCATAAAATGGTCCTTTCCAATTAGTTTTCTTATTTGGGATTAGGAACCAGTCCACATCAGTTTCCTCTCTGCTAATCTCTTTCATGGTTATGTGTATTTGTAGATCTTGGAGCCTAAGCAAGAAGTGGAAAATGTAGCTCACACTGAATCTTAGAAAGGTCATTTGGCAACAGAAAGGATTTCTTCATTAAAAATAATTAATGCTGCTTTAGGGATGATGGAAGCAGGCCAACAGTAAAGGGACTTCTTGTCAAGACTCAAGCCAAGGTCCTTCAGCTATTAAAAAAGAAGCCAAATACATTAGGAATCCACAAATTCACACTTAAAATAAATTAGCGCTGTAGCTTTTCAGAGATGAGCTCTGTTCTAGCCCAGCAGCTCTGAGACAAGCAGAATTTAGTCTAATGTGCTATTCTTCAACTTGACTCTCCCACCTTCCCAGACCTGTTCCATGTCAGTGATCTTTTCCAATGAAAACATCCCATGATTTTCCCATTTGTCTTTTTCTCCTAAGCCCTCTTGAAGGCCTGACTTTGCAGCTGGAGCCATCCCCACCTATCCTGCTTTTCTACACATTCAGAGCATGACTGAAGTCCAATAGGAGCTTTCCATTGAGATTGGCTGGTGAAAGTAACAGCAAAGGACTCCAGGGCTTCCTCATGGCCTTGCAATAAAGCTCAGTCAAATGCTGCACTTTAATAACTTTGTCTTGCTAAGAATGTTGTTTTAAATCTAGTCAAGCCATAGAAAAAAGGGACAGTTGTTGTTTTCTCTAGGAAGATATATGCAGAAGAGTGACAATCTCTTTAAATCAAGCAGGAATATACAAACTCTCACACTGTTGTCAGAGAACAAACTGGAAAAAAATTGAAAGGGATTTGTTCTAAGTAAACTGAAGACAGATGTGGTTTTTTTGACCCCAATCATCCTTTTCACAAACATAGCATTGAACTTGAGTCAAATTTGGTTCTGTACTTTCTAATTTATTGTTGATGTAGGGTCAACCCGAAATATTAGAAGCCCTACTAAGTCCCTTATAGTGGCCCTCCAAAACATCATACATTTAGGCTTTAAAGAGACAGTTTCCAAAAGCATTGCTGAGTGCCAAAGGTGGCTGAAGTGTGACCAGCAGATATCTTTTAATTGGTGATCGATGTGAGGAACCTGATGTTTTGATCTCAAGTCACAAACTCCAGTTGCTCACAAGCAGTCATGTTGCTTGTTCAGCCAGAAAAGCTGCGCAGAAATTATCAAGCCAAGGGTCTGATAACCAGTACTGACCATCTCCCACTTTGCCTCATCCTGACATTGCTAAACAGACCATATCATCTTATCACTGGGGATATAAGCTCAGTCCTGCTGGAGGAAAGAGAAAAATTCCCCCAGACATCTTTGGGAAGTGGTCTGGACCTGGCATTCTCAGGGTCCAGCAAATCCAACACCCCACATGCATTTCTTTCAGGCCTCTCTCCTACAACCTTATCCCAAAGATTAACATATTCCATAGACTTCTTGGATCCAAGTATCCAAACAGAGAATCTTGGCACATCACCATTTGCCTCATGGCCTGTAGAATACCATGTTCAAAGTGTTTTACGGCCAGACAGGAACAAACTATGTCTCCCATGTAGCTGTAAAGTCTTCCAGGCTGCCTGTTTAAACAGAGCAAGCAACACACACTAAAGCTGGAGTTCTTCCAAAAACTATCCACACTGTCCCTGCAGCAGAGAATGAGATCTCAAGGAAAAGAAAACTATTCCATAAGATTTAATCACAGAAAGCTCAAAGAACAGCCAGGGGTTACTAATAATGGATATTACTTAAAACTCAAAACAATGCATCAGCACTAGGCAGCAAAAAGCAAGCACAAGTAATCACAAAATGGTTGTCCCAGCAGTGCAAGAGTCAGAGAGCTCTGACTGGTCTCTGGTGACTGCTGTCAGCCTTAGAGAGGAGCAGAGCATCTGATTAGAGACCCACCCTTCCATCGCAGAGGACTTTTGTGTTGCCAAGAGCAATTGGCATGGGGGTAAAACAAGAAACTGCATCAGGCAACGGAGATGGGAGTTCCCTACAGAGCAGCTGTACTTCAGTAGGAAGCAAATGGCTGCAGTCTAAGACAGGGAGTGCACGTGTTGTTCTTCCAGTTCTAAGGGAGATGCAGGGCACCACCACTGCTACTTACTGGAGTTATAGCTCCACAGACACCCATCGGCTCGTGCCTGGTGAAACAGACAAAATTTTCATCTGCAAGACAAAAGAAAAACGGAAGACAGAAGAGTCAGAATCCCAGCTTCTACAGAAGGAGTGTAAGACTGCACACTAACAGGTTGAGGACAGAACTAAAACCATATTGGACAAAGAACCCTACATTTGTTCATCTTAACTCACAACTCTGGGACAGCCCAGGCAGATGAGGGTCTGTTTGAGAACAGGTCTCTTATTAGCTCAAAAGCAAACACTCCTCATGTTCATAGTGGAGCCTTTTAAAACCAGGGGTGCAATTCCTTCTACAATCTCCCTGTGTTGGGGCTAAGGTGGAGAATAACTCCCCACCACACTGCACAGCAAGCACAAATTCCATTCAGATTGTGTTTTTCTGAAAGAAGCAAAGCCCTTGTTTCCCTAAGGGGAAGTGTTTTTAAACCTGTTTTGTACAGAAGTCATATTCAGTGTAACAGGAATTGCAGTTCTGGTAAGAAATGACAAAAAGATCAAACCCTGTGAGCAAAGTAATACTATTCACATAAAATACTCCTGTTACTTTTCAAAGAGAAACCAGGAGTTTCATTGGAAAGAGCTGACAAAAACATGAATGCTTCTAATTACAGTTTTTGGAAGTGATCTCAAATCAGGAGCAGTGTCCAGGCAAGCTTCATGTTACTCTGAAGGAGGGTGACAGATCTCAGTTTATATAACTGGCATTGCTCCTTTTGCTGCCTGCACAGATTGAACGAGTTCAGCCCTTTAGAGCCCTTCCTTTGGTGACTAATTTTTGTCTGCAGTGCCTGTCCTTCAAACAGCCTCAGTGATCACCCGCATGCAGGGACAAAACAGGCTGATTTTGAAAATACACCATATTACTCATTGTGCCCCCTGGACATCCATTGTCTTAACTTGTTCTCCCCAAAGCCATATTTGAACTTATAGTTGAGACAAAGTGTTTTCTCTGTCCCTGTCACCACAGTGCAGTGTGATTGCTCTGGCTCTGCAGCCTAGGAAACTTCTGAAAAACCTCTTTCAAGTGTCAGAAAACTTGACAGAGTCCCTCAAAGAGGACAGTGCTTTGGCTCTGGAGAAGAGTCAACATCTCAGAACATGTCCTTAAAAAAGGTAAGAAAAAGCACTACATGATCTCTCTAAACATCTGGGAGCCAGCCAGGGATGCAGGAACATCAGTGAGGTGAGAGGCACTAGTAGATTCCACATCAACCCTCTGTCACATCCTGTGGCTTCTAGGACAGCACAAACTCTGCTGCCTTCATACAGTTCCTCCTAGAAACCTCTGCCCTTCCACTGTCTGGCATCTTACTTCATTTCAGTGATACCTAATAAATACATTTCCCTATAACATCCAGGTTTTTTTCTTTAAGAATTAGTCTGAATTTTAAATAAAAAAGGTTTATCTGTTTAAAAAAAAACCAAAAACCAAACAAAACACACACACACAAAAAAAACCCCAACAAAAAAACAAAAAAAACAACACCAAAAACAAAACCCACAAACCAACAACAAAAGAGCCCACTCATTTTCCAGAGAACTATCCAGGCCTTCACATTGTTCTCCCATTAGTTTAAATCTTAAAACACATCTACTTCAAATGCATCCTGAGAGAAAAGAAATGCAAGGCTATTTTTGCAGGTTTTCAGAAGCCAGCCTTTCCCTCCCTGACCCCATCCCAGCTCTGGAACTGGGTCTGAAAGAACTTACCCACTGGGATAGTTCTGCCCTGAATTTTATCAGCCCATCCAGCGTAGTATCGGAGTGTTTTTATACAACCTTCCAGGTCAATGAAATAAGCCTGGAGAAAAGGTTTTCCTGTGTCCATGGTTTCCAGAGTCTGAAAAGACAAATTGCATGCACTGTCAAGACAAGCCAATGCTTTTTTCTTCAAAATAGCTTTTAGAGAAACTCCTTCTCAATTTTATTTAGCCTTTTGCTGCAGACATGGGGGTTTTCCTTCCCTCACCTTACATTTAAGGAATGACCTTGTTAATACAAATAAGGTGTGAGACTAGACCAAATAATCCTGGTGTGTACCCAAGTTGTTTTGCTCAGTGATTGCAATGAAAGCACGGCTTCCAGAAGCCCCCAGAAGGTGGCTGTGGGTGGGATACAGGGCTGCAGTCTGGGGCACTGGTCAGAAATTATCTGAGTGTCATGACTTCACCGGAACAAACCCTCAGACACAGATGTTCTGGATTCCAGATGGTGTCACTGAAATCAGTCAGACCCACTTTTCTTTTATTTGGATTTTTTTTTTTCCCCTACTCCATAGCCCTTAAACCAACCTTTGAAAAGCCTTTTGTCCACAGGATGATAGAAAACACATTTTTTTACTGAGTTCTGGGAAAGCAACCTTTGGGCTGAGAGCTGTGCTGAGAGTAAGGCAAGGGAGAAGTTGCTTCACTAAAGCTGCACTGATGCTGAGCAGCTCTAAAGGAAGTTCAGTCTCAGCCTGTGTCCTTCTCCCTGTTTTGGACATTAGCTCAGTGAATGCTTTGTTCTCTGCTCAGGTCATTAAATGGGATATTGGTGCAAATGGCCAGCACATCCATAAAGGAAGCACTATCCCTTGGTAGATTGAAACATCTTTGTTTACATATGAAGTCATACTCTGTCATCTTCCACAGACATTATGGTGCAAACAGCACTCAAACAGACATTCCCCTTGGAATGACTAGGATTGTTACCCACTCTGAATGTCTGCTAAAACAACTGATTTTTATAAGTCATTACTTAGCATGCAGCCAAGGCAGCTATAGCTAGTTTTCTACAGTGAAAACAACAATGCCAACACGTCCTCCCAGATCAGAAGGACAGCAGAAAGCCTGAAACAAGTGTCCCAGTTATGGAAAACGTAGGGCCCTCTGAAGTCACATCAAAAAGTGAACAGAAAATGAATAGGTCATGTTTACAGACATATATATTTTTTCCCCTTTCATTTGCAAGACAGAACTGCTTTCAGACCTGGATTTTTTTGGTTTTATCCTG